TTCTTTTAACTTTGCATCTAGTTTTTTATTTAATTACAAAAGTGTCACCATGCAAATTAAAAAAAAGATTTTTGTTCTCAAATATTCTCGTAAGAAGAAATGTTCTCGATTTAAATATATATATATATATATATATATATATATATATATATATATATATATTAATATATATATATATATATTATACAAACTTATAAAGCTAGCATTTTTTCTTGAATCTCATGCATTTGAAACCCCCATTCTTTTTTCCTTTCACCACATTCATTTGAAACTCCCATGACTTTTCAATTTCTTTATAATAATAATTATAATTTGGTAATTAGGTTAAATAAATATCATATCTAAAGTGTAATCATATATAAACTAAATTTCAATATTAAAATAATATCTTTAATTCTACTTATAAAATTATGTTTTTTAACTTTTAACACATTATACTTAATTTATTAATTTTAATATATTGTTGGATGTAAACCATTATCATTTTAAAGGTATAATTTTTGAATAATTTGTATAAAATACTTAAATTATTAATTAAAATATAACATTATAGGCTCAACTTAAGTATAAATTTTATTTAACTTAAACAACCCAAATATTATTTTATGAATAGTTTAAAGTGACAAATTGTAGTGTCTTTCTAATAATGATTGTAAGTTGGTTAATAAGGTTAAATAAATATCAAACCTAAAGTTTAATCATAAATAGACTAAATTTCAATTTTAAAATAATATCTTTACTTCTATTTATAAAGTTATGTCCTTAAATTTTAACATATTATACATAATTTGTTAGATTTAAAATGTTGTTACATGTAAACTATTATCAGTTTAAAGCTACAACTCTTGAATAGTTTGGACAAAATACTTAAATTGTTAATTTAAATATAAAATTACAGTGTCAACTTAAATACAAATTTCAATTCCATTAAAAAACCAAATAATATTTTGTATATAGTTAAAAGTGATAATTATAGTGATAAATGCAAAAACTAAATTGTAATATCAATTTAACTAAAATATTTCCTAAATATGTTTATATAATCGTTAAAAAATTTCAAATAAGTAGCTTAAAATAGCTTATAATAACAATAGTTAAAAATAACTCTATATAAATGATTATATTTTTACCTTTAAAATTAAAAAATAATGTTTGATGTTTTAAATAATTTATAATGATAGAAATTAAAACATTAAGCAAATAAATTTTAAAAATTAATTTAAAACTAACAACTATAAATAATATTATACCATATATAATATTTAATTTTATTGATGTGTAACTCGCAAGTAGAAGTCATTCAAACGATTGAGATTATAACGTTATAATAGATGTATATATTATCATATAATTCAAAATAATCAATATATTATATCAAATTAATATACGAATTATTATATCAAATTTAACAACAACGTTAGTGTTATATTTTAAAAAATATATCTTTGTAAAGACTTCAACTATATAGGTGTTTCTGCGCATTACAATGTCAGCTCAAATATAAATTAAAGTTCCATTTAAAAAAACTAAACAATATTTTGTAAATAGTTAAAAGTGATAAATTGTAGTGATAAAAGCAAAAACTAAATTGTAATCTCAATTTAACTAAAATATTTCTTAAATATATTTTTATAATCGTTAAGAGTTTTCAAATAAGTAGCTTAAAATAACTTACAATAATAATAGTAAAAAACATCTCTATATAGATTATTATATTATTAGCTTTAAAATAAAAAAACAATGTTTGATATTTTAAATAATTATAATTATAGAAATTAAAACATTAAGCAAATAAATTTTAAAAAATTAATTAAAAATAAAAACAACTATAAATAACATAAAATCATATATTATATTTAATTTTATTCATGTGTAACTCGCGGGTAGAAGTCATTCAAACGATTGAAATTATGAAGCTATAATAAATGTATATATTATCATATAATTCAAAATAATCAATATATTATATCAATTTAGTATATACAAATTATTATATCAAATTTAAAAACAACGTTATTGTTATATTTAAAAATCATATATTTGTAAAGACTTCAACTATATAGGTGTTTATGCGCAACGCGCGGACGTTCACCTAGTGTATATATATATATATATATATATATATATATATATATATATATATATGACTTTCTAATAAAAGAATCCTAAAAAGCCACAAGGCATCTTTTTAGACTATATATTTGCCACTTGGTAGTTTTTGGTTCACCTATGTTTTAATTTCCCGCTCATTTGAGTCTCGATCAGATCAATTTGTATCACAAATAATCAGTAAACGTTATTGCTGTTCCATCTATTTTCTACTCTCTAAAGTTGGACATATTCAATCTATCCCACAAAATCAGGATTGATTAAATCATGATTGAAATCAACTTATCAACAACCATCTCCTATTGTCTTAGTTTTCGTCTTTCGCTACGCCCTACGACTCTCATGCTATAACCATCGTTTTACTCTCTCCATATCTCTATGAAAACCTTATAAATTTGACTCAACCACCACCTTACCTTCGTTGCTACACCCCACCATTGCCTCTGCTAATCTAAACCAATATCCAGAATACCACAGTCAATACCACAACACCACATCTCTTCCACCATCACAAGACTTCCATCACTAACCAACTTTTTGTTGTCGTCTGTATCACTTCCTTCTCAGTCTCATTTACTTGCAATTTTTATTCCTATTCATGCAACATTGGGTTGAAGGTAACATACCTCTATTTCTAATTAGAGGTCGATAGGATTATGAGTACTCGTCCGCTCTTTTTTTTTTTCAAAATTTTCCAAAGAAAAAGAGTCGTTCTTTATTTTCTTTTCATTATTGTTGTATCATGTTTTGTTTTACAATTAGTATTTATCAAAGTTCTTGGATAAAATAGTCATTAACTTGCAAGCATATTAGGTGTTTGTGAAAATATCTCACATATAGTGATGGTCGAAGTGAAGACATGCTGCTTAAATTGCATGCAACTATGTATCTATGTTTTTCTTCTTTGGTCTACTAAACCTAAGCCTAATTGTGATTGTATTGGTTCATCAAATCACCACAATTATAATTGGATACGGTTCTTTTCAATTACTGGTTTATTTTAGATTTTTATTACATTTCCTTACTTATAGTATAAGGACTAAGTTTAATGATCTAAATGTAGTTTTATCTTCAAAGATTCGTCTTCACCTCCAAATCGGCAAAAAAAAAATTGTTTGTGAGAGGCGAACAGATATATCACCTCAAAACCATGTTATTTAATTCAATAATAGAATCTAAATGATATAATATCCATGTAATTTCTTTATATTGATAAGTGGAGGTGAAGATGATTCAGGTGTGTTTTATTTTTTCAAATTCTATTTTTAGAGGGCAATGATTTTTTATTCTTGGCTATTCCAATTCATAATTGACGGTAAAGATCCAAGTTTGATCTCTTTTTACAGGAGTTTTTGATTTTTGATGACAACAAACTCATAATGTTGGTGTTTGTTGGAGTACATTGATGATTTTATCAAGATGTAAGTTCTTATTAATCTTCACTAGTATATAAATTTTAAAATAAAATTATTAACAAATGATTATAGAAGGTTATCATTCGATTGCTTAATAGTTGTACATCTAAAAATGTAATTAGAAACAGTTTTAGATAAGCAAGTTTTTCATTGTAGAATCTATATTGCTGCATGACATAATCTTTCAATTTTGTAACATATAAAGCTTTCATATATTTCCTTTGTCTAGGGTTAGGCGGGGATGAAACACGTACAACTATCTTTTTTTTTTTTCAAAGTACAACCATTTTGTTACTTTGCCCTTTTTTATCCTAGATACATTTAAGTTATTTAAATCCTCCTTTGAGATTATGTTGATTTTTCGGGATAACTGGTTTGTTTGGAAGCATGATCTAAATTGATAAATTTATAAATAAGCAACATGCCCATAAGTGGTTTTCATGAAAATGACAATTTTGATTTTACTGTGTAACAAGGTAGTATAACATTCTTCACAATATTCTAATGTTTGTAATTTTTTAATGACATGAATATGGCTAATGTATCATGTATGACAAGTGTATTTGATCAGGTTATCCTTCCCACATGCTTTATGTGATAACATACACCATTCACTATAAATAATTTGTTTTAATCTCTCTTCTGTGGCATACATTGCACAAATTGGTAGATAGAGTGAAGTATAGCTCTACTTTCTGCAATTTTCTACTTTATCTACACATGTTATATTTATTATCTTATGACAATGTATCTGAATTCTAACTTTTAAACATACCTAATGACTATGTAGTTAACAAATTAAAGAGGAAAATATATTTAATATTTTAAACACATCACAAAATGAAACATAAAGGATGAGAAGTACATCCACATCATGTTACATATATTAACATGTTATTAGTTCGGTTTTTAATTTTACAAAATACTACCAAAAAAATGAGCCAACAACTTTATAGTACCAAGTATAGAAACAAAAACGTGTAACTAAAAGGCACAATACTAACAATGTCAAATTTTATAGAATTTGTAGTATTTACAAATTTATTATTAATGACTATATTTTCATAATTATCAATATTATTTTTATTTATCAACCGTATAATAAAAAATAATGTTATTTTCTATGTTACATTATTATGTTTATTTTACTTATCACATTAACTTATGTTTACTTATAATCCAAAATAAGTTGTATTTTTTTTGTTGACATTAATTATTATTATTATTATTATTTTTTTGTCTATATAAAACCCTATAAAAGACTCAAAATACTTTTTTTATTTCGTTGACAAAAACAAAAATGTAAATACAAGATTCCAACCGAAGACATTAAATTCAAAGGTTCGATTCCTTAACCATCTTATACAAACTACAACTTATGTTAAGACTATACATATTTAATTTATAATATATACATAAAATAATTTTTTTTATATATAAACTAATACGAAAAAAATCGATTAGTTACACAGAACCCCTCAGGACACTCATAGGTCGGCCTCAGCCATTATTACATATGTGCTTGTCTGTCTTGATAATCTAATCATCATTGATAGTTCTTCAATTAGTGCTTGTTAATAAAACTTATCACAACTCATCAACTCAATTGTTCCACTAACCTTTGTAATAGATTATAAAGAAAAACAATAGCAAGAACAACAAAATACCTATAAGTTTCCCCTAAACCTTACATTTAATTAATTTCATCACCACTAATCATATGCTAACATACAAACAAATCATTGTGCTTATTTACGAGAAAACAAACAAGAAATTAAGACGCGTTTTAAGTACTTCTTACGTGTTGTTTACCACAACATTTCTTGATCTTGATCGCCTCAACTCCCAAGGCCTTAAGCAACCCTTTAATGGAGACTGCAAAAGCAACGAAGACATCGAGAGTTGTCTCTGCCTCGATGATAGAAAACTAAAACTACCGCTTCTTAGCATTTGCTTCTCGGTCTCGTAAGGTATGCAATGTTGCACGGCCGAAACTCTAAGGGCTTCGGGTAACACACAGCTAAATACTGACCCTAAAAATTTAGAAATAGCAATGTACTTTCATTAATTTGTTTATCGTATGATTATACTTTCATTTCTTCATATTACAACAACATATGAATTAGAGCATTGTCATAAAAATACTTAGCTATATTGAATACTATAGTTTAATAGATTTTGGAATGTATAATGTCTTTATAAGTAAAAAAAAAAAAAAAAAAAAAAACTCCGATAAAGTCTCAATATTTTGGATCAGTTTACCGTTTAATCCAAACTTTTATTTTTTGAAAAAAAAAAGTCACAATTATTTTATATTTTGCGAAAATTAACGAAACAATCCTTATTTTTTTTTAAGTAGATTATTGTATAAAATTAGATAATCCGAATTTTTCTGTGCAAAAAATAAATATTTTGATTAAGCCGTAAACTAACCCAAAATATTAGATCTTTATCGGAGATTTCCTAAAAAATAAAAGAATTCAAAATGATATATTTGGGTAGAGTGTTCAAAGAACAATGTCTTAAAAAGAGGAAAAAAAAATGAAAGTACAAATACGTAAATGGGATGTTACAATACTCAAAAAGGGAAACTATGTTAATGTTACCATTTATACCCTCCTACTTTCTTTTCTTCCAATTACAACATAATCTTTAAATAATCTACCAAATTCGATTAATTTCATCAAAATACAAACCAATTTTAAACAACTTAGGTTATGCTTATCGTATTAACTGAAAAGCTAGCTGATAAAAAACGACGTTTAGTAAAACTAGCTGATAAGCTAGCTGAAATATGTAAAATGACATAAATAGACATTTAAAAGAATATGTTTTTTTATAATTAATTAAGAATATATATGAAAAAAAAAAAAAAAAAAAAAACTTCTGAAAGACTAATTTAAGTAGCTTTTTAAAAACTAACTTAAACGCTACTATTTTCACTTGCCAAACACAACCTTAATAAGAAAAAAAATAATAATAATAATAATACAATGCTTTTCAATATATATATATAATATACAAATAGATAAAAGTTAGTTACTATTTATAGAAAGTAGAGGAGTGGAAAAGGAAAGGAAAGAAAAAGTTACCGAGTTTAGCAAGCCGGTTGACCCACCCGGGGATTTGTTTCCCGGTTAAGTTGTAAGAAACATCATTACAAAAATGGTTGCAGTTTTTCACAATTAAGTGATACGTGTCACCATGGTATTTAGCAGCATGAAGCTCCATGAATTCTCGAACTTGCATAGGATCCAGACACGTGGTCCCAATTAATATCGACCTCCTAAATTTAAACCCTGGACATTGTCGAGGCTCAACCTCAAACACCCCACTACTTGGATAATCATGAGCCCCAAACGCATATTCCACTCCATGAACTATAACAATAATAATATATTTATCAACTTAGTTGTAGAAATGTAGAACCAATCGAAACTACGTCGTTTTGAGTGGATATGAAAATAAAATTGGATAAAGTAACCAAAGTATTGAGTATTATTTATTACCTTCAACTCCGGAATGGAAGATTCCGAACCCGGCCCAGTAAGCGTATCCATTCATGGGAGTTAAATCATAGACATTGAGATAAACCGGGGAATTCCCTTGACCATATCCGGATTTGACTTTTGGAAATAAACAAAAACAGTTGGTTGACTTTTCTTTGAATCGAAAAGGTGAGATTGATGTTAATCCCTTCTTTGTTATCGACTTCATCATGTATGTTGAAAATTGAAATTAAAATGTCATCCTGTATTATATATAAAAATACAAAAACATCAAGAATATAATCAGTTGTAAAAACAAACAAACATGAATAGTGAAGATATGTAATCATTACAGTTATGGCACTTTTATGACTTTTTCTTTCACTGTAGGTAAGATTTCAAGAAATGGCCCCACCTACATTATAAAAAATGCCAAAGAACATCAAGTGAACAACTATTGCTAGACTAGCAAACTGCAGATATGTCCTTTTCAAGAAAATGTTCAAACATATAGGTATGTAGGTGATATTATAAAATTTCTGATTTGCATCAAGGTGATGACATATAGCATAAGTTTTCAATACTACAACCCTAAAGGATTAGAGTTTTTTAATAAAGAAAGAACATAAGAAAGGTATAAGAGGAATTAAAAATGGATTCTTCATCCAAGGTTACAGGAAACTACAAAAAGAAAAAAACAAATTAGTGGGAATACTAGGTGGTAATTGAAAAAGGAGTGTTCATAATGTTCTGACAAATGAAGAACAAGTCACCCTCTTGTTGTGAAAGACCTGATTGCACTTTGAAAAACATAACTTATTGTAGAAATTTTGTTAGAAATTTGCCCAGTTTTTTGTGTGATTGAGAAGACTTGATGTATGTTGACTTCTTTATTATCCGAAGTTTTGAAAAGTTAACACCAATCTTCTTAAAAGCAGCAGAAAACTAGGGACCATAAGGAGAAGAAACAACTGAATGACGATTAGCAAATCTAGGTAACTGAAACTGTAATACGCAAAATCAGAGAGAAAAAGAAGAAAATGTATTCACAGTTTCACACAGTGCTTGAGAATGTCAGAAATGAAAAGAGAAAACATGTTTGACTTCAAAATCTGTAAAACAACGAAGCTATCTTCAATGAAGATACAGTATGCCATATTATTTTCAAAACCTTGAGCAGAATTTACTCCCAAATTTGGAGTTTTAGGCTATGAATTTCTAGGATTGAGACAAATACATCGTTCGACGAGCCTAAATTTGCTGAGATTTACAAAATCCGGTCGAATTTTTTAGATCTTGCTGGTGAATTCCACGCTAACAGAAAATATTACAGAAAAAAATAGCGACAATAAACTAGATTAAACATTCAACAATCGATATATCAAACAGATCAGTTAAAAGAAATTAACAGCTGAATTCAAAAGGTTAGAATGGTGAAAATCCAGCAAATGATGAATCTACTACTAGTTGTGAAGCGAAAACGAATTTGAGAAAAATCAAAAGAGCATTTTAAGGGGGAGAAATCGAACTTACAGTGCATAGCAGAAGAACAAACACGAGCAGCAACTAGAAAGATCAACTAGTTATGAACAATTTGGTGTGAAGATTTCTCAGGCGAATGATAGGAGTGAATTATTTGATACGCCGAACCTTGAGGTTTGAGCCGATTCACAAAGACCAGTAGGCGCATGAGAGAGAGGGGCAATGACAGCCTACACACCTCAATATCTCATCGACCATGGAAAACAGGCGCTCGTTTATCTAGTAATTTGGTCCAGTCTTAGAATCCAACCAGTCATATTTATTTGTAGGAAATTATATTTTGATTATTTTTTTATTTTGATACAATCAAAATCGATCATATCAAATTTTAATATACAAAAAATGAATCTTATTGGTTAATTATATAAACATATAATAGACAAAAAAAAAAAAATAAAAAAAAAAAAAAAAATAAAAGAGTCGAGAATTTATTAGAAATTTGTCGTTTGTATTCCAAAAAAAAAAAAAATTTGACAAAGACACGTCCAAAATAGATTTTATTGGAGTTTTGGTTTTTTTCCGGAGTTATTAAATTGATGATTTATCCTTCTTAATTTGTGTTTTTATTTTTCTTTTATCACAATCATTATAAAAACACAAAATGAAAAACAAACTCACCCCAAACTTAATCCCTTCTCTTTTTATGGTATTAGACTTGTGCTTCCCATTCTTCAAATACCTCCCTCTGGTAAACACCACCACCATGACCATCCACCCCAACACAATTTTTGCCCCGAAACCACCATCATTCTCATCGAAAACCACCGATAATATTTGGAACCACGATTGAGATATGGATCTGTTTGTATTGATCTTCATCGCGATGTGGAGAGATAAAGAAATAATGATTTGGGAACCCTAGTCCCTAACATCATCGTTACTATCACCATCTTCATCAAAAGCCCTAGCATTATCGTTATCTATCGTCGAGCACTACAACTCGACGATGGCAACTAGAAACCGACGTTGTAGCTAAAAAACCCTAGCATTATCTAGTATTGGAACTCGAAGAACACAACAGAACTCTAGCATTATCCAACGTCAACTGTGATGGTGTCGCCTATTTTGTAACACCCCCCTCTGGCACGTATCACAATATTGTCCGCTTTGGGCCACTCGGCACGAGGACTTCCCAGGGGGTCACCCATCCCGGTACTACTCCCGCCCGAGCACGCTTAACTGCAGAGTTCTTATGGGATCTGCTGCCCTCACGGCTTTAAAACGCGTTGTGATAAGGAAGGTATCCACACCCCTTATAAGGAATGCTTAGTTCTCCTTCCCAGCCGATGTGGGATCAGGTGCAACCCACCTTCAAATCTGTCACACCCCCAAACCAAGGATGGCGGAAACGTCCGGGGGTGGAGGACTTCATGTAGAGTATCACAACAATGAGTATAATAGTGCTCAAAGTAAAAACAACCACCATAAATATAATTGCAAAAGTTACACCAAAGTAAATGTTTACATCTTTCAAAAGCAATTACATTATGATGACAAAATAATTTGTTGACGGTTTAACGTCCCATCCTCAAAGCGATGAAGTTTTCCTGTTTCACTGATTCCCTGAGAATACAAGTAGTTTTAAAAGTGTCAACACAAAGGTTGGTGAGTTCATAAGAGTTTTGTTTGAAGTAGAAACCGTTTTTCCTTGTAAAATCGATATAGTTTGATTTCCAGAAAATCCAATATTTTCTTAGTTAAGTATGAATAGAAATAATCCTACATGATGCATTAATGAACCTTAGAGCAATCCGTAGAGTTCCTCTATAATCGTCCAGCGTATAAAAGTTATATAAGGGTTAACTTAGATAAAACGTTGAATATAGTAGGTCTGCCCCAGGTCCACAACCCAACGAGGAACAGGAGATGAGGCGGGCACCACCAATTCTAGGCCAATCATGACTAAATTCTTATATGACTCAAACATATACGCTCAGCAACTATAGCTGAAATCTAACAATTCTAGAGGAAATATAGTTTTAATATCATAATAACTTTGTATAGAGACCCGACGTTTTGTATTTGTACCCCTTTTTGTATAGAGACCCGGTACTTTGTATTTGTACCCCTTTTTGTATAGAGACCCGGTACTTTGTATTTGTACCCCTTTTTGTATAGAGACCCGGTACTTTGTATTTGTACCCCTTTTTGTATAGAGACCCGGTACTTTGTAATTGTACCCCTTTTTGTATAGAGACCCGGTACTTTGTATTTGTACCCCTTTTTGTATAGAGACCCGGTACTTTGTATTTGTACCCCTTTTTGTATAGAGACCCGGTACTTTGTATTTGTACCCCTTTTTGTACGAGTGCGTTGAGTGATGTATCATAAACTATACCTATTATAGTTTATCTAAAATGTATGTAATATGTATGAATTCTTTTATGGAAATGTATTAGTATTGTGAATTTATCCAAACTATACATTTTATAGTCTAATAATACGTGTTCAAAAATGAATGAATAATATTTAATATTTAATATGAATGTCTTAATTCCAGTTCATAATGATAAACTAACACGGAAACACATTCAAATATTAGAACTTATGATTATACACTTTGCTCAACATAATACAAAGTGTTACGATATTTACATGCTGTTGGCTAACTTTAGCCATTCTGCCCTGTATTTGGAAAAATCATAGAAAAATCATACGAAGTCGAAAACTAGATCCGTAAATTCTGAGAGTTCACAAAATGTGTCTAGTTTGCTCATAAATTTTATCTCAATTTATAATGACCTCTAACTTGGGTGAAAAAGTCCAAGATCACAGACTGGTCCGGATTGTTGTTCGAAATGATAGGCAGTTTTGTAAAAATCGCCATAAATTGTAGAAAAATCGTATGGAGATGTGCAAGTAGCCATTTTAAAGCTAAAAACTTGAACTATTTGCACCTTGTACAGTTTTGAAAACAAAAATGTGTAAGATGCCCAAAACAGTCCGTGAATGGAGTTGAACTTTTCTGATGAAGGCTGTTAGAAAAATCTAGTTATGTTCTTAGTGTTTTAACTTATATTCACCCCCTGAAAACTTGAGAAATCATGAAAATGTAGGGGTATGAACTCACCTTGAGTGATTTCAGTAGATAAGTGTTGAAGAAGGAAAGTGTTCAACCCAAGAACACTTGAGGAAACACTTGAAGATTCGAAGATTAAGAGTGGAAGAACACGTGAGATCAGCCTTGAATCTCGAGTTTGGAGTGGGAAAAGTTTGAGAGAAAGTGGTGTTTGATACTTAGTGAAATGAGGGCAAATGAGAGGAAATGAGGAGAGAGGATGAATAATCAGCCCTCAAAAACGTGGGAAGAGGGATAATTGAGTGGAAAAGACATTGATGTGACCTAGGTAAGGTGGGGAGGTATGGCTGGTCATAGAGTGGGTGTGGGGTGGTTGCTTGTGATCATACGTCTTTGGACTCAAAAGTCAAGAACAATGTCTTATAATAGTCTATGTGTGTGTATCTCTTTAAAAATTCTGCAATTTCATCATTTTATGACCCCCATTTGCGAAGTTGAGTATTTATTTCCAAAAATGCGAAACTCCAGGGACAATATTTGAAATCTTCTGTTTTCTTCCCCAATTCGCATTCTACTGTGAAATACTTCGCATCTTCATTCTTACACCCTTCGCATCCCTTCGCATTAATCACCTTCGCATTTTATGACCCCCATTTGCGAAGTTGAGTATT